TTACCCAAATCTCTTTAATCGTTTGCGCAGTATCCACGCTATAAGTCCCAACACAACTACTGAAACAAAAAATAATAGATCTTGGTTATTTATATAAAATATACCGTATGATCGTTGATTTATATAAACCATTTTATATTGTTTAGAATACATTTAAAAATCAATTATGGAATAATATGTGCTAATCTATTTTTAAATAAAACATTGTTAACTTACTCGAAAAAACACTTGAAAGGATGTATACGCTTGCATACAAGTCATTGATGTTTAAAATCACAGGATCTCCTGTAATTAAATTTAATGTTGAAAAAAAACAACATTGAATTGCATTGCTAGAGTTTAAAATTATATTTGTTGTACATTATTAACCATGTGACACATTAGAAAATGTTTTAAATATTTCTAGGGTTTTTTTTTTTTTTTTTTTTTTAAATCTATTTGTGTGCGTGTTTTAAAGTTTTATAAGACAATTGAACAAACATTCAAGAACAAGATTGTTACTTACGTTTGATAATTTCTGAGCCGAAACGTGCAGCACATGCCCCATGGCATGCCCTGCTCCTCATGAGCGACTCGTTAAACTGTCCTTTTGTCTCACACCAGCTGCTGAGTTCACTCTTCTCTACATCAATCGGAAAACATGACTCGACTTTTCCTTCAACACAGAACTCGTCATTGCCGTAGCAGATTCGGTGTGGTAAACATAGATGTGGGCGGTCATTGGGGCATCCTGGATTTTCTAGGTAACTTTGGTCTGAGGTATCATAATTATTTAAATTAAAAACAATCACTGATATTTACATGCCGTATACGTTACGTAAAATAATCATTTTAGGAGATAAATCTTCAAAGTGCAATAACTTGTCAGAAGACAATATATTGAGAGTAGGTCAAACAGAACTAAAATGACTAAAAACATGATGAATTTGATATTTGAACATCATTGATATAGAACGTGCTCTGTTTTAATTGATAGCACACATCACATATTATTCATAAGTTATAAGTATAATCATTTGGGTATATTTAAGAAAAGCACATTTTAAAAATGACATACATATAATATCTGGTTTGTACGTCTTGTTGATTCTCCAGCCAAATGCATTCACAGCACTACACGTGTAAGCTATTTGAAATAATTTAAACATATGAGTGTTATGACTGAGCTATTTAAAAAGGTGCAGATATACAGACAGTCACTAGTGTTAGCGTTTATTTTTGCACCTCTGATAGCTTCGGTATCGTAAACAAACAATTTAGGTAATGTTGGAAACTAAAGTATATGTTTGAATATATTTTTCAAAAGATACATGATTATATTACAGTAGTTTTGTTAAAGTTGTATCCAAAATTATTTTATTTTTAACATTTCTCAACAATGTATATCAAGTAAAAAAAAATTGTAATAATTACAAATTTAATTTGCGCAAAAGTACTAAAGGACAAAACCCAATGTGCAGGTCACATATAGTTATTATTTAAAGTAGTTTATTACAAATAATAACTAAGTTAACTTTAATCGATAAAGGTATTTTAAAACCATAAAAGAAAAGCAGGCGTTACTTTGAGCATTAGATGTGACTTTTGATGTCAGAACTGACGTATCAGTGTCTTGTTGTAACAACATTCTCTCCTGGTACCAGACTATTCGTGTTGCTATGTCGCTTTTGTCAACCCTACTACACGGACAGTCTACCCTCGTTCCTTCTAGTACTCTCATAGAACAATTGCCAAGTACAATGTCTGGTTTTTCTTTAAAAAAAATTAATTTAAAACATTCAAATGGGTTAACACTTTTTGAATTTATTAAATTTACTTTGCACTACAAATGATTAATCAAGACAATAACATACATTTAAAAAAGAAAAATTGTAATACAGAATTTAAAAGATTGTAAGTTAATAATTACCTATATTGACCTTTACTGCTGTTTTTCCACAGTCATCACATTGTAGAGTTGTCGTGTTTGGGGATATTACAACATAAAATTCGTAAAGCCCTGTTCTGATATTAGAAATGGGCATTGTTGCAGTACACTCTGTGATATAGTACTCAGGATTTAGACTAACCTTTGTGTGGTTGTATTGGACAGAAACAAGATCATCGGCTTTGCTCTGGAAATTTATTATGTGGGAAATTAAATAATACTTTAAAAAAAATTAGAAACGTACAATCTCCCTTATTCACGTAAATCACGTTCTTTAGGTAAATCAAAATGATTAAGTTAATTGAAACAAATCAACGATGTCCTTATATTTAGTTTTTGTTAAGATATGATCTAGTGAACACTTTTTAGACGAAAAGTCAGTATTCATTCTTGAATATCTTAATTGTTCAAATCTCCATTTAGTAACGTAAAATAATAAAAAAAAAACAACACCATTTAGCAGCATTATTTTCTACTTACTCCATTATAAATTAATGAGAAATTACATCGGCTTTCTGGATACGATCTTGAACCAATACAGTCAATGGAGAGTCCTTCAGTATTTGTGTTGTATGTACAATTTAGTTGCTTTGGATTCACTATTAAAAAGGGTGGTAGAAAACACATTAGCTGCCGAGACTCATTGCGCTTAAGACAGTTCGAGAATATATGGGAAAAGGAATAGGAAAGACCAAGGAAGATAAGAACGCAAAGTGCAAGTATCGGATTGCCTTCGGGAACTGCCAACAAAATTGCCAAATAATGAAGAAATGAAAATAAGTTTCTGACGGCCCCATTTGTCACTGGCATTGCCGGGAAAAGATTACAACGATGATACATTTCTGTTTTGTATTCTAGATCTATCGCCCAATCGCTGTTTGGTTTTTTCAATAACAATTATAAAAAATACTCATTACATCAATTAACAGTATGTAATAATATTTGTTATTATTATTTCTACTCTTTTTGTAATTTAGACTACATAGGCGGTCAGCATTATATTTGAACATGGGCAATAATTTTGCCAAACTATTTATTAGAAAGGATTTTTAAAATGTTTCAGAAATATTTATATTATTTATGTATATATCCTCTATCATTTTCCGGTTCGTGCCCAAGACATATGGGACAGATGAAGTAGAGTTTATCTGCTTCAGAGACTTCGGCATATAATGAGATAGCATGGTCAGCACTACGCCCAGCCGCCTTTACTTTCCCTAACGTGAGTTAGGTGCCCACCAGAGCTGGGTGGACACAGGGACATTCTACTGACTTGAACCCGGATTCAAAATCGAGACTCTGGTGTTAGCAGTCTTGCTCTTTACTGCTAGGCCACGCCGTCCTATGCATATATCATATACGCTTTAAATGTTTGCTCATACAGTTTAAAATAAAAAAAAGTAATAGAGTTTTAAAAAATTAATAATAACTTATCTTTAAAATATTTATTTCTTTAAACATAAAATAGTTTTCAATAATTTAGAATTATGCTGACAAGACAAGTGCTTGATGATAAAGAGCAGGGGCGTAGCGAGGGGGGGGGCGGGGGGTGCGGACCGCACCGGGTGACACCATTTAGGGGGGTGACACCAAGGCAAAAAATAGCAAAATATATAGAGAAAAACTTGAGGGGGGGGGGGGGGGGGTGCAAATCGAAAGTTTGAGGGGGGGGGGGGGGTGCAAATCGAAAACTTGAAAGTTTGTCCTTGGGAAGGGTCTATATGCCTCTTGGGGGGTGACACCATTAAGTGCCGCACCGGGTGACACCCGACCTCGCTACGCCACTGATAAAGAGTGATCCCACTATACTAAAAAAACCGATTTAACCTCGGCAAAGAGCTTTACCTTTTATTAGCAAATATGTTTCAAAAAGTACATTTGATTTTTTGTCAGTTAAAGTCCAATGATTTCCATAAAATTCAAGTTTCTCCCTTCTGACGCTTGGTAGCTCCACAATAAAGGACGTTTGCTTATCATATTTCATTGTATAAGCTTTTGTAAAATTTATAAAATAGGTATACGTATGGCATTCACGTGCAAAACATGAGCTAACATCGGTGATGTTGATTCTCCACGTGTAAGTCGTGTCCCAATCTATATCTCCTGATATGTTATGTGTCAGCCTGCAATCCTTCAATTCTTCACATTCGCGATAAGCTATAGAGAGAGGAAACAAAAATCGTCCGCATTATGAAAAATAAGTAAATACAGTCTATTACAATCATTGTTTCTTTCAGGCAGCGCGGGGGTTGTACGGGAGGGGGGGGGGCTCTGGGGGACAGGAACAGTGTTTCTTCCAAACTTTAAACTTTTCTCTCCGGGGGCACTTGAAATTTTCGGGGGGGGGGGGGGAACTAAAATTTTGGTAAGGGGGGTGGACACTGTTAACAATTTTTATTTTCTACATACATTCCATTTGGTTCGGGGGGGGGGGGGGGGGTGGACACTGTTAACAATTTTTATTTTCTACATACATTCCATTTGGTTCGGGGGGGGGGGGCGACATACTTTTGTAAAAAATAAAAATTCCCTCTGATACAGTAAGCCTTATATTATTTATAACACAGACTGGGCCAAAAATATACTTAAACCAATAACGCGTTGGAGAAAATCGATACTTTAATACAAATCAATAAAACAGATATTGATTGACCCACTGTACCATAAAAACATAGCGGTACGCGGAGAATTATTCCGAGGGTTATTTTATAATCACTGCAAGGTAAAATAGATACAATGACTTACTTAAAATAAAACAATTAAAAAAGATACATTTACAAATTAAATTAAAAAGCAGAAAAAAAATGTTTCACATAGGCCTAGTATAGGTGATGAACATAAGAAGATGTTAAAATGCCAGTCAGATAGAAGAAAACGTTTAATGTTGTACATTTAATGCTAAACGTGGATGTGAATTAGCATCCCAAAAAATGGATAAACTCGCTCACCTTGCATTGCAATCTGCGCATCAACGAACAGTATCGCTGTTGCTAGCCACCACACATGTTTCATTTTCCCCATTTCTGGAGAACAGCTGATGAAGTAGGATATTATTTTTATGAATTATTTACCGTATTGTAAGATTTGAATAACAGTTTAAAAAAAAATTGATACCATTGACAAACATAAACACATTTGTTTATTTTATTAGCATTCTACAATTACAATTGTTTCTTTTTAAATCATTTATTTCCAATTATCAATAGCACGAATCAGACTAGTATGTTTTTTATTGATCATTTTTGTTATGTCCACTAAACTGTTACGATTCTTTCATGATAATACGAAGCTGTTTTAAAGCAATATGTTGAACAGCCATCTAGTTTTTAAATGTGTTATTACAATTTAATAGTGAAATAGAACATACCTTAAAATTGACAACAAATCGATTATGTTTTATTTCCTAGAAAACGCATGCCATCTATGTATTGCTTCTCTATTTTTACATACTTAGCTAGCTATAGATTAAAAAAATAGTCGCTTAACACACATCGATGATTTTATGCATGTATAGATAAGTAAACGGCGAGTCAGAAAAAATAAAACGTCAAGACTCTAAAACATTACCATAGGTTATCATACTTTCCAACTCAATATAAATCTAGTCAAAGTAGGGAAGATTTGAACGCGTATTTCATGAATGGATAACACATGATATTCTAGTCTAAAATAAAGTGTGTGGTATGTTCTTTAGCCTAGAATAACAAGTCTACCTGTGACGACTGTGTTGGCTGTGTTCGGTGGACCCTTACGGGAAAAAATCAACGCTAAATTTAGCTGTCATATCATTACATTGATATATTATTCACAATCCTACCAATCGTTATATCAAAATATAGTATCTCATCTAATTATCTATATTTCTTCACGTAAATACTTCATATAAAACCTTAATTTAATAGAATACATTATTTGATCTCGATTTATATTTAGCAAAGAAAATAGGAAATATAAATATCATTAATAGTACGTAAAACTCAAATCACATTCGAATTTTAACGAAGTACGATTTTCATAAACTTTTTTTGTCTAATTGTACTACTAATATTAAAAGGTACACAATAAATCTTCAAATAAAGTAAATATTTTACCATTTATCAGTACACAACCTTTAACAACCTTTGTTATGGAGAAAATATCACATTGTGAATTCCCGATTATTGTATCATGGCGACTTAGCTTAAAATTGAAATGAAATCAAGTAATGAAGTCTTGTGGTAAAATATTATGTGACAACATGATACGTATTTCGAGTCTAACTGGGATTTATAGTCCCTTATTTGTAAGCCTCTAGGTTATCTTCAGTTTTGAGTTGTAATAAGTAGAATCGATACCCAAGTAAACATTACATCGCTGTCTCATTGAACGAATACCAAAAACAGACATGGACATGTATTTGTATTTAAAATAGTATCGATACCCAGGTAAACATACAATCCCTGTCTTTTATTATGTGTGATTACAAAATGGACTGTGCTTTTATTGAGCCTAGGCTCTAACAGTATGGACTAACAAACAGATTAAGAGAAGAGGTTATGAAATATTACAGAAGTGTATGCTGTTGCGTAAATTAGATCTTGAAGTATGACAACTTAAATCACAAGCTCATTTATATGTTGTAAACCTATGATTTTATTTCATTCGATTTATATAGGGTGTCATATAGTCTCGATGGTTATGGTTGTTTATAATTATTTAATAGCTAAAACATTTATTTTATTGAACAAGAAATTCAGAACACCTTATTAGCTATTAGTTGATAAAAGATTGAAAGCATGTGTTTTTTATATTTTAATTATATATTCAAATGGGTATTTAAAGTGTACAAGTATCGTCATACATTTCTTAAATCAATTTCTAGCTTTGCAGAAAACAGTTAAACGCTATCTGTTATAGCAAGCTTAAGACATTTGTTATATGGGTTGTATAAAAAATGGAATAAAGAATAGCAAGGAAAAATCAAAGAAACAATAATCGCTCATCTTTGTGTTGACCGAAACAGAATAATTGATGTCCGTTTCAAGTCTTCCTTTCATCGGTTCGACCGAAGTTGATCACACCTAAGAATTGTCAGATGTCATAGTGTGACATCACAAAGTCAAAAGTATGACCGAAATTAACATCACCATATACATCTCAAATGTCATAAAGTGACACCACAACGACTAAAGTAGGACAGACTGATGCAACTAAAGGAAATAACCTATCAGACAACCTAAGATGAAAGTCATGATTTGGTTGAAACTATCGCAGTCTCAATACACGGAAGTATAACATGACTTTGTTCTTTCAAATCTTATCACTTAGACATCCACATCATCATTGTAGTTTTGCTCAGTATGAAATGTTTTGTTTCTTTTCTGCTAATAATATCATATCGTAAGTAATACTCCCAAAAAGAATTAAATAAAACTTGTTTGTAAGCCTATTTATTTATATGCTTAAATATAAATTAATTAAATGGGTTGTTAATTTCAGCGTGTATGTGTGCTAATGCTGGTGTGGTGGAATCAGAATTGTGTGTAGACAACACTGCTATAGTCGCTAGTGTAAACACAACAAATCTTCCTACAATGAGCACAGTTATATTTTCAGTTTACGATAAGGATAACTGTGAAGGTGCTACTATACGCGGAGGCAACGTAAGCATTTCACTTATTTTTTAATGCTCAATCTATGAAAGCATGTTGATAATTAATATATGACAACATTGATATGTTAAAAAAAAACTACAATTTCCTGATAACCTGTATGGCGATCTCTACATTTTGTTTTATTCTTTTTTCAAATATTTAACATTTGATTGATTATAAATGTATTGGTTTCAACAACATTTAACAAGTCTAATAGAGGAATAAATAGTGTTGATTCATATATTGTCGTTTATTTGTTTTAGCAATTCTTTTTTCGTTATCCACAGATTTGTATAGTATTGATAACAAATCAAAGCTGTAGTTCATCTAATTCAAGATGCAACTGTTCGGGTGGATCATCAGGGTATCTACAAATTCGTGTCTTGAACAACATTAAACCGCAAAATTATTCAATTAAAATTGAAAACAATGAAAGTATTGCTGTTTGTAGTAAGTTTGTAATTTAATAATTATATATTTATGTTTTTAAAACACAATCTACATAAGAACATTATATCACTGTACACCTATATGTGAATTTGTAGCCTAGAATAAATTTGAAAAGAATGGTAGTTTGTTCGTTAAAACTGTGTTGTCACTGCTGCAAATACCCATTTACAAGGGACTCGATAGTTGGCGGCTCTCTTTAATGTAAGCCAGAAGTCTTTGCTTAGCTTTCATCAACCATGTTTTAGAATTTATTAGGTCTGCACATTTTTCTTTTTTTAATCATTTGTTTCCATTATCCTGCACTTTTTCTCCTATGCACCTCAGGAATTGCTATATCTAGCGCCGCTTGTGCTGCTACTGTCATTTTAGGGTTAATTTAACCACACGATTGGAAAAAGACATTTATTTATTTTAATCGGTAAATAAAATCTCAACTCATGTACTATGTTCGTGTGAATAGATTTAATCTGTAATTATACATAAAATTATTTAAATATGTAAGTGTCGCTGTTTATGACGTAAATCAGCCACGAAAAGAACAACAATGGAACATGAAACTAAAAGTAACGCTAAGGACTAGACTACGTTTACCTATTGCTGTAGTGATAATTCCTGCTCCAAAACTATAAACATGACATTATTGGAAATAACAATTGAAAACATTTTTAAAGAAATGCTATACATTATGAAATCATTTGAATTAGACGCTAATAGTAAGTGCAGCAATTTTTAAATTATATTTCTTATGTTAACCACATTGAAAGATGTTAATTTCAGTACAATTATTTTATATTTCAGAATTGATTAGTGGTATCCCTACATGCTCATCAGAAAAACCGAGTACGTAAACGTTGTATTGTGAATAAATCTCTCTCTCTCTCTCTCTCTCTCTTTCTCTCTCTGTATATATATATATATATATATATATATATATATATATATATAGGCTATATATTTATAAAAATGTATATTTGTATTTTATATATATTTACATGCTATTTTCGACAGTGAGCAGTTTAATACCAATAGACCTATACCTGCAGATAGGTTCTGCGAGCACCGGAGGAGTTTTGTTAATTGGGATAATTTTAATCACTCTTTTAATAAAACGGAAAGGTATGTACCCTTATCAATAGTTATGTATCATACAGGTGTTGAACAAAACACATATTATTATGTGTATAGCGTTTTGTACACATTTATATACACTACTTATCAAATAAAATATTTGTTTTACTTTGTTGTAGATAAATGCATATCATTAGAAAAATATTAACAAATGAGCTTATATTATTTGTATGTGGCGGTATGGTCTGACGGTAGGGCGTATGATTACTAACCAGAAAGATAGGATTCATTGTTCAAGTCTGTATGACGTACCTAATTCTGACCAACCCTAGTGAGTACCTGACTCAAGCTAGGAAATGTAAAGGTGGCTGGTCATATTACTGACCACAACATCCTGGATATGTCAAGGTCACAGAAAATGTTGTAATCTATTTTATCTGCGGATATAAGGAGAACTTTACTTGATCATGGTTTTGATTTGCAATAATATAATTATATTAGTTAAGTTGTATTCATTCCATTTACTATATTAATAACATGGGATTGTTCTGTTAACTTTACTTAGGTAATCAAATTACTGTTTACATCTTTGGCAACAGGAAGTAGCTGTAATACAGTAAACACACCAGCGCCCCCTAGCGACAAGTCCACTACAGAGAGCAGCAACTCTTACATTGATGTAATTGATGTCCACGACAGCGCTGAAAACCCGTACGAAGATATAGTCGATTCTTCAACAGAGACGAGTACAGAAGGAGTTAATAGGGAGACGTATATTGATGTAATCGATTACGAAGAAATAACGAATACCTACGAACAGGTGGATACTTCTATACATGACAGTAATGTTGATCAATGCTCGATACACATCTACGATACTTCATCATTACATGGATTCAATCAAGCAACATCGGTTGTATAGATGCAGCAGAACTGTTCTTAATAACAGTTAATTTCAATATAATACATTTGTAAAATATATTACTTATGCCCAATAAAAATATGTTCAATATGTCTTTGTAATAGAAAATGTCAATGTCGATTCATTAGGATATTCATGGAATCTGCTCGTATATATGTGTCAATGTTGGTATCATGATCATAATGATCAAGCCGCCCCCCCCCCTTGCTAGATCTGTAGTCTATTGTCATCATTTTCACATAGTCACAGTATCTAGCATATATGATGTAAAGTATACAACTTACAAGCTTATTATTCAATCTTTGGTATCATTGAGAGTTATCAACCTGTGAAATGCTTTATTGTGTGCAAAATGTTTTCCTCTCACAATTAGAATATTTGAGTTCATCCAAAACGTTATGTTCAACAAATATATGTTATAAATATAACAACACTTTTGCATAATGAATTTATGGAAGTGCTGAGTTTATATATATATATATATATATATTTAAAAAAGAACTGGTGGTTTTGAGCGTGGTTAATTATTCTGCTAAGTTTGAAGGTAGAGTGGCTAGGGTTGAGTATAATTTAATGAGTGCTAGTCTTATTTCAAATCAATGCTTGTGTAAACTATATAAGTGGTAAGCAAAAACAGCACTCTTTTTAAAACTCATCAGCCTGAAAAAGAACGCCATTTTTCGTTATTTTAAAAAATATTCTCCAGTTAGTTAAAACTAAAATATCTTAGATCAAATAATACTTTTTAAACATAACTGGTCTTTGTTGTTTATTAAGACAGACACCCGACTGTTTGTGGTTTGTCATTGTTCATGTAATTTTTTTTTAAAATCTTAAAACCAATCTCAACCAATTTTTTTTTTCAAAATAACTTGAAACATATTCTGTTCTTTATTCATCGTTATAAGTTGTACAATTGTAGAGTATTTTGATCAGCGCATTTAAATATGTGCCGTTGGGCCCGTCGACTCCGACTTCAGTCTGCTATTTTTCTGGATTTGCTTTCATTGAACAACAATCTGCAAGGCAGTAATTATTTGATTTTAGAGTTCTCTCTCTTAGATCGGTTGCTCATTTATCGAGCCTCATCTGCCCTGCATCCGACAACGAACAATGATTAAACTTAGAATAAGGTGGGACACGTTCACAAATACATTCTGGGCGGATAAGGACACAGGTTGGCTCAAGTAATAAACATGAACAGGACAAATTAGAATTAACAAAAGCTGATTTAATCTTAAAAATGATTTCATCTTTAACACTAACAAAGATTTTAACAGCATGCATTATTTTTCCACACATTTTTTAATATTTGAAGCAATTAAAGAAGCAAATATAGTATAATAAAACATTAGCTAAAATATTACAAAAGAGTTTACACTGGACAACATCAGTGAGAATCGAGATCCATCTACCCACAAACACGAAAGTAGATTTCTGGTTTCAGTCATTTTTTAAAATAAAAGATGCACATACATGTGCTTCTAAAATAAAGTAAAGTAATTATTCAAAGATGTTTTATAAAAACTACACTAGTTATCCAAAAATCTGATATGGGTTTTCAAATGATGAATAATGCAGAAGGGCGTAGAGTAATTGATACATTATTAAAGCAATTGAATGCAACGTTTTTTTCAGTTAAATTAAAAAAAAATATACATTTGAAGAAGATTTTAAAATGTTTTTTCACTTATTGATAATAACATATACAGACTCTTTAGATTAAACAGATATGGGATCAGTTCTCTTAAAGAACGTTTTGTGTTTTACGGCAGGGAAAATAAAGAATATGCTGACATACATTGATATTATATTGTATGTGATGTTTAGCTTCCATGTTTCGAACGGGCACCATAGTCTTATCCTATTATTTAATAAATTATACGTTTTTTTATACAAAATATTTTATTCCTCACAATTAGAATATTTGAGTTTTTCTCTAAACGGTACTTTTTAACACCAATATACAATAAATATAACAACACGTTTGCATAATAAATTTATGGAATTGCTGAATGTATATAATTTTTAGTCTTTAAATAGACCGCAAGAGAGAATTATAGCAAGAGAGAAAAATTAACAAATTAGCTTCAACCTAACTGGAGACAGTATACACTAGCAAGTTTCTTTTCTAGAAACAAATCGTTCTTTATTAAAGTTCATTCTTTCCCTTCTAAATTCATCACACACACTAGGCAAGTTAGTCACTGCTGTTTTTGTTCTGTTTTGTTGTATCTAGTAGGGTTGGTTTATTGCTAAGCAAAACACATTTTTGGTAAAAGTTCACAAAGGAACATGAGACAAGTGACTCAGAGAGTTTTAAAAATATGAAAAGCAAAAATTAATCGGTGGTTTTAATAACTTTTAAAAAATAAATAGCTGTTAAAAAAAAATCTTCTTAGCATTTTGAAGAGCTTGAACTAGAATGTACTTAACTTTTTATTACGAATGAATAATTATGGTGATTCATTTCCGTATGAAAACTTAAACTCATTGGATTTTTAAAAATTTAAATAAAATTAATGTAACCATTAGGTTCAAAATGCTTATTTTTTATTTAAAGTTAAATTCCTAAAAAAATGTTTAAAGTGAATGTCTTGTGACAAATTAAAATGAAATAGTTTCTATTATAAGAGTGAGTTCAATTTACAGAAAATTTTTTTTAGCAGCAGGAGTTAGTGTAGTCTCATTACACGAATGCATATTAAAAGCTTTGTAGTATTTACACTGATTGTATACTGTTAATTAATGACTAAACGTTAGGCAAAAAATAATTAAAAACAAAAGACTTTATAAATAAATTATTGTTTTTTTTTGTGATCTTATCGTTCATTCGAGTTTTTTTTTGTGATTTATACAATAACTATTGCTATAATTTTGTTATCCATTTAATTTTTTTTTTAGAGATTATGAACATGTCTCAAACTTTTGTTGTTATCATTTTATCGTATTATATTAAAAGAAAAATTCAATAAGGATTACAATATCTCTATTAAATATTTTTACACTAATTAAAATAGAGTTAAAAATAATTCTGCATTTTTTCATCAAACACATATTAAATTTAAAGGTCAGAGTACAAAAAAGAAGCGTGTAAAATTTTTTTTTACATGTAGTTGCATACAAAAATCTATCTAGGAAAAAATGTGTTCATTTTGATTTGATTTTACCAGCCATATATTAGTTATGTAACTAATCATTATAAGACTGATGAGTAATGCTCGACATCTTGAGAAACAATACTTAAGTGTTTTGGTGAACTTGAGTCGCGAGGTCCTTGTTGAGATCAGACATTGAAGAATGTGTCACTTCCTTGTCTGAGTAATTGTTTCTAGCTTTGCTGCGTAATTAAATACAACATTAAATTGATGGAAAATAATCAGATAGTCAAATTTCAGGATGTAAATACTTACTTTAATTTTTCCTACATAAAAGGCAATATTTGAGCTAATATTTATAAGTCTGTCAATTTAGAAAAAATTCAATTAAAATAAATACAGAATTTGTTCACTTATTTGAAGAAAAACGGAATAAATATATTTAGTTTTCTAGTCTATTATTTTCATCTTTTGGATGGCTTGGATTGTATTAACGATTCCAATTGCTTGTTATTTTACTCCTTAAGTCTTAATTAAAATACTGAAATAAATACCCTCTAACAAAAATTAAGTTTTACATGTCAACGTATAATGTCTAGTTGGCCACGACATCCGCCTGCTTTTCATTCCGGATTTGCTTTCATGAACATTTGTTCATAAAATAACAATCATCAAGGCAATTGTTTAGTTCTGGAGTTCATACCACCCCCCCCCCCTCGGAGGAATTGCTGCCCCCAGAAAACGAGCCTCATCTTTCTGAGTGTCCGAACTCGGGACATTTGGGTTCGCTACCATGCCGTCACGAACTATCTCTCACGTGATTCAGGTACCCACCACATTTGGGTTCGCTACCATGCCGTCACGAACTATCTCTCACGTGATTCAGGTACCCACCACATTTGGTTGGACACGGGTACTTTCTACAGGGTCGTGTTTGGTATCAGAACAAGAGATTTTCATGTTATCAGTCGAGCACTCTACCAACCCTACCTGCCAACACAGCAGCTGCTACTGGTACTATAACCAGATTTCTTTCATAAAGCAATTAACATATTTTATGTAAGCGGTGAACAATTTTAAAGAGTTTGTTGTGTTCAAGGGTAGAAGAATAATATTGCTACAGATACATTTTACTAAACCTACATGCTTTGTCTTGCAGGTAAAGCTGGTTTTTCCTCTGAAAAAAAACGTTGCAGATTAAATGTGTTTTAAAAACAAGAACTATGTATATAATTGTTGAAAATAACTATCTAATCGAACTTTTTAAAAGCTGGAATGTCAAGGTAAATACAGGAATACAGCCATTAGTCAAAAAACGTGGTTAAACCACCATTACATATATGATAACGTCTATTTGATATTCATTGTTGGCAATCAATTTGAAAATAAATAAAAAATATTTACCTGTGATTGTTTTTCCATGATTGTAAATGTCACAAACGTCAACTTAATTTTTAAAAGCAAAAACAACAAATTATAAAAGGAGAACAACAACAGAAAAATAAATATAGGCGATGATATATTTCAAAACAACTAAACAACTTTGATTTTTTTACATCCATGGAATAAAAAATAAAACAAATCAATTCTGATCTTTGACACATTGATTGTTTTTAAACAATTTAAAAGAACTAACAAACGTGTTATGTTACTAAGTTTTATACAGATTACAGTATAGTTGCATGCGAAACAACTTAAGTTGTATAATTTACCTTCAAAGTATATGGGTTCGCGTCTGAAAAATGTGATTGCATAATATATTACACGTTCCTACTACAAAACATTTAAAACAAAAAACTAAACTACATTATTTATATATAAGTTTAATAATTTTATTTGATTAATGTTTTAAGTTAAACACAAAACGTTAACGAATACCTACACATTACATCGAATTTGTTG